AACAAGTAACGTTCCGCAACAGCTTCTACAGTATTGTACTAATCAAATGCAAATTCATGCAGTGATATTTAGTCATCATATTTTCTACAGTAGTTGCAAACTTCTGCTGAAAAACAATTATGAATCTCTTAGGTCATAACAATGCAAAAACAAGGATTGGATGATTTTCTAAAATGTAAAAGAATATTAGATTAAAGCTCCTGGTGCTAAATGGCGTGCTTATTCCAGAAAGTGAGAACAATATTTAACATTAGGGAAGCGTGGCCATCAAGGCCACGACATCAACGTATCACACATAACTTATGTCCCAGAGCCTATTGTGGACTCAATATCCCCTTCTCTCCATTGTTCACCAGATTAATGTCAACACTGAGGAGACTTAACTGCGATGAAAGGTTGGTAGACTGGAGTTAAATTTCTTAAAGCATAGGAGGTCTAGGTATTTAAATAATGAAAGGAATTGATAGGTTAGATAGTGGACGATTCTTCCCTTTGATAGTGGAATCATTACAAAGGAACATAGCATTAAAATCAGGATTAAGATAGTTAGAACTGAAGTAAGGAAGCATTTCTTCACACTGAGGGTTTTGAAGTTGTGGAACGTTCTTCCCCAGAAAGCTGTAGAGACGGAAGGAATAGAAATATTTAAAATAGAGACTGATATACCTGGGTAACAGGTATTAAGGGGGATGGCGATAGAGCAGCGAATTGGGTTAAAAAGATCTTCCAAGATCTGATAAACTGATTGGGCTTCTCTTCTTTCTGTTTCATGTTCCTATCCTAGGGGAAAGTTTGGCTACTTTTGTTTCCCAAAGACAATTTAAAAAAATCATAGAATTTGCATCAATCCCTCTCCCCCACCATCACTATATTTGACCCAGCCAGTTCCTTACGTCAAGACAGAAGCCATTATGTCCCATAATCTGGAGTATTTGCGCATCTCAGTCTGCATCTATTCCTATAATAATAATAATAATACCAATGTTCTTTCTGCAGTTACAATAGAGCATCTACCTACATCACCTATTTCTTTCAGTATTTTAAAGACATTGATCTTGTTTCCTCCCAGTTGTGTTTTCTCCAGCCTTGCAAGATGCTCCATAGAGTCAACAACAAACAACAACAACTTGCATTTATATAGTGCCCTTCACGCGAGATAGCATCCCGGAGAGCTTAAAGAGTCATCACTCTTTACTGGTCTTTCACCATTGAAGAACAAAACCAAAATATACACATTTAGTTTGGAAAATTATCAGGTGGTTTAATTTCCATCAGCACCCATACTGAAATTGCAAGAGTTGACTGCGCTTTCGGAAGTAGATTGCCCCAAATCTGTAAAGAGTATTAAATTGTGATCTCCCCAGTAATCATTTATCATTTACGCAAATGGGAAAAACTGAAACCATAGTTGAGGAACAAACCCAAAGTAGTGGCAAAGATAAAATTATACCAATGCATGAAATAAAGGGTCACTGACCCACAATTAGTCATTCACTTCATGACTGTTTGTGAGCCATTGATGTGCACAAATTGACTGCTGTTCACCTGCAAAGACACATTTACTACACATTACAGTAATTCCTGTGAAGCTCTTTGATATGTCTCAATTATGTGATAGGGTGCAACATCAAATGTAAATATTATATCATTGTGTGGCATATAAATTGTGGAGTCCTGTAGCTCAATGGCTAGAGAGCTCGTCGCGCAAGCGAGTGGACTTCAGGTCAAATTCGTGGAGAGGGCAAGTAGTTTCCTTACTCCACACACCTCTGTTTACCGAGCAGTAAATAGAAATCCGGTTGTTAGTCGATTGGCGGATTGCTTTTACGGGGGTAATAATCTCTTCAAAAAAAAATTCATGAAAAAATATGGTCACTCAATCCACGACTGTGCGCAATTGGTTGCCGCATTTTGCCCGCAAAATATATAGTCAATTTGCTTTTCGGTATATTCTATGAAGTGCTTGAAGACATCTTGAAGACGTGATAAGGCGCTATATCAAATCCAAGGATTATTATTATTATTGAGAGAAAACATAATATTTGGTGCAGTAATTTTGGAACTATTGCCTGCACCTTTTGTGGTACTCTGCAGTCCTCCTCTCCCACACCAGGCTCTGTGATTCTATGACCTCCATCCTTGCTTAGGTCCATTGGCTCCCCATTCCTCCAGTGGATCTAGTTCACGATCCTCGTTCTCACTCTCAAATCCTTTCACGGTCTTGTCTCATCCTATCTCTGTAAACTCCTAAAAAATTCACCAACCTGGCAGCTCCCTTTGCTCAGCGAACCCTGGCCATCTTCATGCCCATTTTTCCCCTCCCCCTTCCACCCTATAATAATAATAATCCTTGCATTTGATATAGCGCTTTTCACGTCTTCTAGACGTCCCAAAGCGTTTCACAGAATATACTGTAAAGTGAATTGACTGTATATTTGTGGGCAAACGCAGCAGCCAATTGCGCACAGCAATGTCCCACAAACAGTCGTGGATTGAAAACGACCAATTTATTATTGTTTTGTTTTTTGGAGGGATTATTATTACACTACCATCAGCGGGCAGGCTTCCTGCCATTCTGATCTTCTGTGATGGAACTCGATCCTGGAGTCCCTCCGACCCACACCCTCCCTCCCCTCATTCAGGGCCTATCTCAAAACTTACCCCATTAACCATGGTTTTGGTCATCTTCCTCTCTACAATCCCCACCCCCAGTTCCCAACTCCAGCTCAGGTATCCAGTCAGCAGTGTCAAGTGCTTTGAGACTCATACCCTAACTCCCTCATTCCCTCTCAATTTTTAGATCTTTTTTTTAAAATCCTCTCTCCTTGACACTTCAGCTATCTCCTGTCGACCTCTCCTCCACCCCAATCTCTCAGATGAAACATATTATGTAAGTGCAGGCCATTGTGGTGCAGAAACCAGGGATATTATTTTGAAAATATGTGATCTTCCAAAAACATAATTGTTTGTGCACCTGAGCAGTCAGTAGCGAACTCAAGCTACAATATTGCACATGTGAGGTCTGCGGGGCACAGGCGTTTATCGGAGGCAGAGAAATGTATAAAAATGACAAGTCAAATTTATGAGGAAGGAATGAGAAATAAAGACGGTTTGAGAAGAAAATTTTAAACTTGTGGAGAAGGGGAAGGGGGAGGCGGGAAGGTTTGGAGGGAGGCAGGAAGGTTTGGGGGGAGGCGGGAAGGTTTGGGGGGAGGCGGGAAGGTTTGGGGGGAGGCGGGATTGGGGGCAGGTGGGAAGGTTTGGGGGGAGGTGGGAAGATTTGGGGGGAGGAAGGAAGGTTTGGGGGGGAGGCGGGGAGGTTTGGGGGGCGAGGAAGGGAGGTTTGGGGGGGAGAAGAGAGGAGAGAAGGGCAGAGAGGGGGGAGAGAAGAGAGAAGGGCAGGGAAAAAGAGGGAAGGGCAGAGAGGACAGAGAGAGAGAAAGAGGATAGAGAGGAGGAGGATAATGACAGAGAGGGGAGGAGGGAGAAGGCCAGAGAGGAGAGAAGATAGAGAGAAGGGGATAGAGAGAAGGAGAATAAGGCCAGAGAGGAGGAGCAGAAAGGAGAGAGGATTGAGAGAAGGAGAAGAAGGAGAGAGGATAGAGAGGAGGAGAAGAGAGAATAGAGGAGAAAATAGAGGATAGAGAGGAGGAGAGAGGAGAAGGATAGAGAGGAGAGAGGAGAGAGGAGGAGAAAAGAGAGGATAGAGAGGAGAGAGGAGAAGGATAGAGAGGATAGAGAGGAGGAGAATAAGGCCAGAGAGAGGAGAGAGGATAGAGAGGAGAAGAAGAAGAAAAGAGAGAGGATTGAGAGAAGGAGGAGAAGAAGAGCGAATAGAGGAGAGAGGAGAAGGATAGAGAGGAGGAGGAGAGGGCCGAGGAGAGGATAGAGAGGAGGAGAAAAGAGAGGATAGAGGAGGAGAGAGGATAGAGAGGAGGAGGAGAGAGGATAGAGAGGAGAAAAGAGAGGATAGAGAGGAGGAGAAAAGAGAGGATAGAGAGGAGAAAAGAGAGGATAGAGAGGAGGAGAGAGGATAGAGAGGAGGAGAGAGGATAGAGAGGAGGAGAGAGGATAGAGAGGAGATAGAGAGAGAGAGGATAGAGAGGAGATAGGAGAGAGAGAGGATAGAGAGGAGGAGAGAGGATAGAGAGGAGGAGAGAGGATAGAGAGGAGGAGAGAGGATAGAGAGGAGGAGAAAAGAGAGGATAGAGAGGAGGAGAAAAGAGAGGATAGAGAGGAGGAGAAAAGAGAGGATAGAGAGGAGGAGAAAAGAGAGGATAGAGAGGAGGAGAAAAGAGAGGATAGAGAGGAGGAGAAAAGAGAGGATAGAGAGGAGGAGAAAAGAGAGGATAGAGAGGAGGAGAAAAGAGAGGATAGAGAGGAGGAGAAAAGAGAGGATAGAGAGGAGGAGAAAAGAGAGGATAGAGAGGAGGAGAAAAGAGAGGATAGAGAGGAGGAGAAAAGAGAGGATAGAGAGGAGGAGAAAAGAGAGGATAGAGAGGAGGAGAGAGGATAGAGAGGAGAAAAGAGAGGATAGAGAGGAGAAAAGAGAGGATAGAGAGGAGGAGAGAGGATAGAGAGACGAAAAGAGAGGATAGAGAGGAGGAGAGAGGGGAGGAGGCAGGAGGGAGTCTTGGGGAGGGATGGCTGAGAGAGAGAGAGAGAGAGCAGGTGCTGCAGATAAAGATGGTCTGAGAGTAAGTGAGTGAGAGAGGAGGGAGGGGGGAGATGCGGCGGCGGCCAGTGACTCTGTTGAGCCTCGGGGGGTCTGCAGGGCCTGGGGTCTGTCTGCAGGGCCTGGGCCTGGGGTCTGTCTGCAGGGCCTGGGGTCTGTCTGCAGGGCCTGGGGTCTGTCTGCAGGGCCTGAGCCTGGGGTCTGTCTGCAGGGCCTGGGCCTGGGCCTGGGGTCTGTCTGCAGGGCCTGAGCCTGGGGTCTGTCTGCAGGGCCTGGGCCTGGGTCTGGGCTCTGTCTGCCTGTGGCCGGGCAGGGCCTCACTTACCAGGTGCAGCACCAGCGGCAAACCCAGGAGCGACAGCCACAGGTACAGGTGGAAGGTGTTGGAGAATCTGCTCTGATGGGGGTCGAAGTACCAGCCGCCGGTCAGCGAGGCCCACACCCCCTGACCCAGGAGGTCCAGCAGCTGAGCACAGCCCATCCCCGCAGCCGAGCCGCTCCCGCTACACCGCCAGGGCTCCCCGGCCCACACCGGCTCCAGCCTCAGCCTCCATCACAACCCCGACTGCTCCTCCCCCCCCCACCCCACCCCCCGGCTTCAGCTCACACACAGAGGATGACAGAGGGAGAGGGAGGGAGGGAGAGAGGGAGAGAATGACAGAGAGAGAGGGAAGGAGAGAGAGAGAGAGAGGGAGGGAGGGAGGGAGAGAGAGAGGGAGGGAGAGAGGGAGAGAGGGAGAGAGAGAGAGAGAGGGAGGGAGAGAGAGAGGAGGGAGGGAGGGAGGAGGGGGAGAGAGAGAGAGGGAGGGAGAGGGAGGGGGAGAGAGAGAATGACAGAGAGGGAGGGAGGGAGAGAGAGAGGGAGGGAGGGAGAGAGAGAGAGGGAGGGAGGGAGGGGGGAGAGAGAGAGAGAGGGAGGGAGAGGGAGGGAGGGAGAGAGGAGAGAGAGGGAGGAGAGAGAGAGAGAGAGAGGGAGGGAGGGGGGAGAGAGAGAGAGGGAGGGAGAGAGAGAGAATGACAGAGAGGGAGGGAGGGAGAGAGAGAGGAGGGAGGGAGAGAGAGAGAGGGAGGGAGGGAGGGGGAGAGAGAGAGAGGGAGGGAGAGGGAGGGGGAGAGAGAGAATGACAGAGAGGGAGGGAGAGAGAGAGGGAGGGAGGGAGAGAGAGAGAGAGGGAGGGAGGGAGGGGGAGAGAGAGAGGAGGGAGGGAGAGGGAGGGGGAGAGAGAGAATGACAGAGGAGAGGGAGGAGGAGAGAGGGAGGGAGGGAGAGGGAGGGGGGGAGAGAATGACAGAGAGAGAGGGAGGGAGGGAGAGAGAGAGGGAGGGAGGGAGAGGGAGGGGGGGAGAGAGAATGACAGAGAGAGAGGGAGGGAGGGAGGGAGGGGGAGAGAGAGAGAATGACAGAGGGGGAGAGAGAGAATGACAGAGAGAGGGGGGAGAGAGAGAGAATGACAGAGAGAGAGGGAGGGAGGGAGATAGGGGGTCAGAGAGAATGACAGGAGGGAGGGAGGGAGTGTGTCAGAGATAGAGAGAGAGTGACATAGAGAGAGCTAAGGGGTCAGAGGAGAGAGAGAGAGAGAATGACAGAGAGAGAGTAGTATGATAGTAGTAGTAGTAGTAGTAGTAGAGTGAGATTCAGAGAGAGAGATTGAGATTGAGTGAGAGAATGACAGACATAGTGTAAGATAGAGTGAGAGTCAGAGAGATGGAGTCAGAGAGAGATGGAGTAAGAGTCAGGGAAATATACTAAGAGAGCGATAGAGTGAGAATCAGAGAGAGAGAATGACAGAGAGATAGAGTGAGAGTCAGAGAAATATAGTCAGAGAGAGACAGAGTGAGAGTCAGAGAGAATGACAAGAGAGACAGTGTGTGATAGAGTCAGAGAGAAATAGAGTGAAGGTCAGAGAGAGGGAATGACACAGAGAGAGAGAGTGACAAGAGAGAGAGAGAGTGATGATGGAAAGATAGAGTGAGAGAGTGTGAGAGAGAATCACAGAAAGAGATAAAGAGAGAATCGGGGAGTGTGACAAAGAGAGTCATAGAAAAAGATAGAGAGAATCACAGAGAGTGAAAGAGTAACAGAGAGAGTAGGAAATTGGGAGGGAGGGAGAGAGAGTGACAAAAATGAGTGTGACCGGGACAATAATAGAGAAAGTCACAGATACAGTGACCGAGATTGTGGGACACAGAGAGGGAGAGTGTCAGAAAATCACAGAGTGACAGAGAGAGCGTGACAGAGAGGGAGAGTCGCGGAGAGAGGAGGAAGGGGGAGAAGGGGGAAGAGAAGTGGGAGGGAGAGTAGAGAGTCAGTCAAAGAGAACAGAGTCACAGTCATTGCTCAGAAAAGGTGGGGGGGGGAGCAAGACTCAGCCCTCTTTTAAAGTGGTGACTCCTATATAAGACCAAAGGACCCCCCAGAATCCACAAGATGGCAGCAAATCATTGTGGTGGCAATATTGAAGAACATATATATTTGGAACAGCTCCTGTATTTCAGGAGAGTGTTTCAAAGTGCTTTTGGAATTTGCTGTAAATTGTAGTGAAATGTGGGTGAAATTTTCTTACTCCTCAAAAATCCCAATTACATGCATTCCCAAAAGACAGCTGGTAAGTCGATAGCCAAATTGGTTAATTTCCAGGTCATCGGGTTGCCACTACCATTGCTCCCTGCACAGTGTTTTGAAGTGCCAATGGACCCAGGTTTCTCAATGTGAGAAGCCCAATGAATACAGAAGTACTGACCAGCTATCGTGCCGTTATAGCACTAGTTAGGATTTTATGCATCCCAACTCTAGTCCCAGCTTTATTCAGAAAAGATGAAGGAAAACATGTTGCTGAGGTTCATATTTCTTCTGACAGAGAAAGGGGGAACAACCTCTGCCTCCTTCAATCCCTTCTGCTTTTCTAGGTCATCTGGTGCCAACATTCCTTCCAGAGTGAACTAAGGAAACAACCCTACATGCAGTGCCAAAACCCTGCAGTAACTGTGCTCAAAGCAAATGGTTTTAGGGGACACAATGTTGCTAAAAAGTTGCTGACAGACTGAATAATGGCACTGCTACATGTATTGGTAACAGAAGTCTAACTTCACAGTTAGTAACCTTATAATGGCAATGCCTCCAGTTCAGCATTAATTCGCTTTCACTGTAGTGGTGACCTCTCAAAAATCTGGTGCCACTATTAATGAATGATGCAGCAAAAGTGCCATAGACTATGATACTGATTGAATCAAATTACAGGTCATTCTTAAAATGTTTGCCCAAAAAACAGTCACTGCACTTTACAGTATATCCTATGCGGCGCTTTGGTACGTACTCCTGACGTGAATGGTGCTAAACCAAATGTAAGTATTATTGTTAATGATAAACTCCTGTCCCAATTCTTGAGATGGTTGGCACAAGGCCATTTATAGACCAGTATATATGAGCATCAAGATAATTAATTTAACATGCTGGTATTTTGGGATATCAATTTATTTGAAAATTGCCTTTTTTTAAAAAAAAGACAAATTTGTGCTGCTAAAGTATTCCCTTCTGTAAAAAAAATCTTTACATTACATCCGATTTCACTTGTGCCAATTAAGGAGTCCACTTACTGCACAATGCTTAAAAGAACTGCTGAGAGCACAGCGAGAAATCTCTAGAGGAGGTAAGGGAAAAAGAATGAAGGGGCCTGGCGACAGCCATGTTTCTATGGGACTAAATATTTGAGAAGAGGAAGTCTGGAGCATGGAAGACAATATAAGAGAGAAGGAATGTTGCTGATGGAAGCACTCAAGTGGTTCATTAATAAGATTTGCCAACCCACATTTTATTCTTTTGGCTGGGTTCCGAGTTCTGATCAATCAGTCAACAGAAACCCATTCCTTAGAGATCTCTAGTGAGCGCTATGCAAAGAATTTTAATCTTTATCTTGAAAACCAATGTTTTCTGTTTGTTTTTCGTTTTATTGATTTGGAAATACAGTAGATAGTTGTGGAAATGCAGTAACCACTGGTGACTCAGTTGATAAAAAGCAACTGCCAAGAGGGTTAATGAGCCATACTAACCCAGGTTTGAATTCCAATCTGCGCTGGGTTAGCTGATCTCAACAGAGCTCTACAATTGGCCTCAGTGTCACCGAACCAGGGAGATAAAAATGAGCCATCATTCCTGCTCGTAGTTGCTAACTAGTAGCCCTGCTGGAATGTGTGCTTGTTAATAGACGTGATCAGGATCCGCTCTGATGGTGCCCACAAGGTTGCCGGTGCTTATTGTTCAAACTCACAGATGAAAAATGGCCACCAGAGGTCAGCTGGCATTGTGCTTCTGCACCCCTCGTATGCGAAAGTATCTTCAGGAAAGGGAGAAAATTGGGAGTGGTGGAAAAACATTGTATAACTACACAGTGTAGATGTACTTTGTATACCTGACCTGTCAGCCTGAAGAAGAATGGGGACGCTTTGGGCTTTGCAGCATGAAGTTAATTATTATCTTGAAATGCTTATGATTGCACGTACTGCATGTGAATGTTAGGAAGAGAAAAACATAGAAATAACTTAGTAGAAAGTTCCTGTACAATATACATAGCATGAAATTAAAGTTGGGGCATAACATCATCTCCTAATGGGATGCTACCCTGCATGAGGGGTGCTATATGAATGCAAGTTGTTGTTATGCCCTCACCTCCCCTCACACCGATCCCAATGCTGTTATCTTAAAACAGCTCATCTACTCTCTGTAGCTTCATCGTGTTCATTCAATATGTGGCTCAGGCATTCTATTTACTTGCTTTGCGGTTCATTTCCCTCCTGCCATCTCCTCTCTTTATGTGCCCAAGCTCTATCCTTCCCTTCCTGGTCTATGCTGCTGGTCATCCTCATCCTTGAAATGACACGGAACATTCTTGAAGCTATCCTACATCTTAAGTCTCAGGAAAGGGAAAAGACTGCTTCCACTGGTACAGAAAGTCTTACAATCCCCACTGCCATAACTTTTTATGTCTCACTGTGGCAGTGGAAATGGAGGGAAAAGTGGGAAAAACCACTGATGTGAGTCAGAAGCTGCATTGTTGCGAAGAGACTATGGGGAAACAGCCTGTAAGTAGGATTTATAATAAAATACTCGGCTGTGTAGATAACATAATGAGCCAAACAGCCTACTATTATGCTGAAAAACTCTTATTCTATGCTCTATTGCCAGGTAAGGCTACAAAGTGGATTTCAGAGGCAATAAGGGGAAAGAGTACTTTGGGAACACAAAACAGGATTCTCATTGGCATTGGAAAGAATGAACAAACTCAGTAATGCAAAGCAAGTGATCTCTTGGAGAAATGGAAAACTTGGGGAAGATGCCAATACTGGTGATCTCAGAGACATAGAACATATACGGAATGAACTAGAGGAAGAATCACTTGGGCAGGTAACTGTATTATGTAGGCAAAATGCTTCAGCCAATTTGTACACAGCAATGTCCCAAAAATGGTAATAAAGAGAATAACCCAAGTTTTCCTGTGGATTGTTGGCCAGGACACCAGAAACCCCGGGAGAAATGTGGAGCCTGGATTGTGCTCAGTGGCATTACCTGGGCATCAGACATGTGTGTTCAGTGGTTTCACCTTCAAAGCCCTCTATGGTCTTGCTCCCCCCTACCTCTCCGACCTCCTAACCCCATATCAATCTGTTCGCTCCCCCTGCTCCGCAGACACCCTCGAACTTCCAGCCCTACCAGTGGCGGTCGGGCATTCACCATCTGTGCTCCCAGACTCTGGAACTCTATCCTGCAATTCCTTTGCTTCACTCCCTCTCTTGCCTCCTTTAAGTCCCGTCTAAAGATCTTTGTCTTCTACCATGCCTTCGGGCCCCCCCCTTCCACCCCCACCGGCCCTGGCCTCGAACCCTCCAGACCCCAACTCCCAGTTAGGGTCCAAAACCCCCTGACTGTCCAGCGTCCTGGGACGTGAAGGGCGCGATACAAGTGTAACTTGTTGTATTTTCTGGGTGTCGCTGACCCGCGTGGCCGGGGGCCGTGTGTGGTTAGCGGTATTTTCTGGGTATCGCTGACCCGCGTGGCCGGGGGCCGTGCGCGGTCAGCGGTATATTCTGGGTGACCCTCACATGCGTAGCCGGGGGCCGTGCCCGGTCAGCGGTACATTCCGGGTGTCGCTGACCCGCGTGGCCGGGGGCCGTGCCCGGGGTGTCGCTGACCCGCGTGGCCGTGCCTTCCGGGGTGTCGCTGACCCGCGTGGCCGTGCCCGGGGTGTCGCTGACCCGCGTGGCCATGCCCGGGGTGTCGCTGACCCGCGTGGCCGGGGGCCGTGCCCGGGGTGTCGCTGACCCGCGTGGCCATGCCCGGGGTGTCGCTGACCCGCGTGGCCGGGGGCCGTGCCCGGGGTGTCGCTGACCCGCGTGGCCGGTGGCCGGGGTGGAGGGGGGGGGGGGGGCCGTGCCCGGTCAGCGGTATTTTCTGGGTGTTACCCGAGACATGTGGCTCTGGTGTTGTTCGTCGCTGTCCCTCCTGCTGCCAGTCCCGTGACGGGGGCGCGGTCCAATGGGGGGCGGTGGGTGCCGGTGCGCCCGAGGAGTCAGGCGGTCCAAAGTCCAGGCCACCAGCAGCGGCGGCGGCTCTCCCCGCGGGCAGCAGCAGCAGCAGTGGGGCCGGGCTTTGAGCAGAGAGGGAGGGGAGGCACAGAGACCCGGGAGCGACACAGCGGCAGAGCAGCGGCCCGGACTCCCTGCCCCACGGCGGCCATGCAGCCTCCCCGGCTGGAGAGGGCGCCGAGCCGCTGAGGAGCGCCTTTTGACCCGACCCCGGGGTTGTCCATGGAGCTGGAGCCCGCGGCGCTGGCGCTGGTGCTGCTGGTGCTGGTGCTGGTGGGGGTGGCAGAGGCCGGGGCGCTGAGCTTGTGGGCGCCGGGGATCCGGCTTCACCTGTGAAGGGAGCCCGAGGCCCCGAGCGAGCAGGCGGGGCGAAGGGGGGCCGCCGGATGAGGAGCGGCCGCCGCTGCCGCAGCAGCAGCAGCAGCCGCAGCAGTCGCGGTAGCGCGGGGCTCGCAGAGCGACTCGAGGCCGCGGTCTCGCCGTGCGGCCCATGAACACGCGGAGGGAGGCGGCGCGGCCGTTGCTATGGATCCCTTCAAGGGTCTCTTCGACCCGGAGAGCGGCGGGGATGGCGGCGGCGGCGGCGGGAGCGGCGGGGCTGCCCCGGGCCCCGGCGTCCCGCTCTGGACGGCCGTGTACGACTACGAGGCGAGCGCCGAGGACGAGCTGAGCCTGAGGCGGGGGGACGCGGTGGAGGTGCTGTCCAAGGACTGGACCGTGTCCGGCGACGAGGGCTGGTGGACGGGCCGGGTCCGCCGGCGGGTCGGCATCTTCCCGGCCAACTACGTGGCGCGGGAGCCGCCGCCGGGATACGGCGAGGCGGCGGCGGCGGCGGCGGGAGGAGGAGGAGGAGGAGGAGGCGGCCCTGGAGGAGGAGGAGGAGGAGGCGTCGAAGGCGAAGCCGTGGCCTTGGGCCTGGGAGTCGGGGGAAGCCGGAGGCTGGTGCAGCCGCCGGTGGAGATCGAGTTCAGCCAACTGAGCCTGGAGGAGATCATCGGGGTGGGCGGCTTCGGGAAGGTGTACCGCGGCACCTGGCGGGGGCAGGTGGTGGCCGTCAAGGCGGCCCGGAGAGACCCGGACGAGGAGATGGGGGCGACGGCCGAGAGCGCCCGGCGGGAGGCTCGCCTCTTCTCCATGCTCCGGCACCACAACATCATCTCGCTGCGGGGGGTCTGCCTGCAGGAGCCCAACCTCTGCCTGGTCATGGAGTACGCGCAGGGCGGGGCTTTGAACCGGGCCCTGTCCGGCCGCAGGATCCCGCCGCACACGCTGGTCAACTGGGCCGTGCAGATCGCCCGCGGCATGTGCTACCTGCACGGCGAGGCCATCGTGCCGATCATCCACCGCGACCTCAAGTCCAGCAACAGTAAGTCAGCGCCGGCTCCATCCCTCCCCTCCCTCCCTCCCTCCCTCCCTCCATCCCCTCCTCACACCTGTACCTGTCTGCTCCAGTCTCTCTCTCCTCTCTCTCTCTCCCCGATTCCTCTCTATAACAACAATATAGTTCAATTCCAGGCAGAGGGCGAAACCTTGGGCGAGTTTCCTTACTCCACACAGAGCCTAATAATAATCCCTCCAAAAAACAACAAAAAAATAATAAATTGGTCATTTTCAATCCACGACTGTTTGTGGGACATTGCTGTGCGCCATTGGCTGCCGCGTTCGCCCACAAATGTACAGTCAATTCACTTTACAGTGTGTTCTGAGAAGCGCTTTGGGACGTCCTCCCGACGTGAAAAGCGCTATATCAAATGCAAGGATTATTATTATTATTATTATAATAATGATAATAACCTTCGCATCTCTCGATTCCTCTTTATATCCATCTCTGACTCGTCCCCGCACTTGTGCAGATACTGTTCCCCATCCGCGGTCCTGTCTGCATCGCCTTTATTTGTGCACACAATAGGATTCTTCCCCTTTTACTGGTACACCATAGTCTCCGATTTCTCCCCTTGATTTGCCCAAATCTTCTTCGCTCTGCCCTCGATTGTTTAGATGTAAATAATCTCGATTCTCCCCTTTATTCGTGTAAATGTTGTGTCTGATTCCTCCCTTTTTACCTCTACCCTCTCCCCGATTTCGTTTCTTTTTTTGTTTGTGCAAATAAATACAGGCTCGGATACTTTTGTTTGTGTGTGTGTTAAAAAAAATGCGTTCTTGATTCTTCCCATTATTTATAAACATAATCTCTTTGATCATTCCGAACATGGGCTGCTTTAAAGAAATAATAATAATAATAATAATAATAATAGTGATGGAACAGTCTCCTTGAGAAAATCTGTCACCGAGGAAATGCAATCCAATGTATTGTTGAAAACTGACCCGGTTTCATTGTTTATCAGCAAAACTTGGAAGTGTAGATGGGTTCTCAGCCCTTGGATAATAAGAACCTAACCAGCCGGGGCGGACAAATATCGTGAAATGTACCGCTAATTTGTTCTGGGAAACTGCACGGTTCCCGTTTCTACTATGTCAGAAACTTTCGAAAGATCGTTTTTTTTTGAAAGCCGCACAAAATCATTCCTCCATGTGTGGCATCATAACATTTTGACATGCGTCAGCCAAGCTCAGCAGGTGTCAGCCAGGCTCAGCGACTTAACACTCTTGACTTTGAGTCAGAAGGTTGTGGGTTCAATTTAACCTCATTGTCTGGGCTGACACTCCAATTCAGTGCCAGGAGAGCACTTCTGGCAGACATGCCGTCCTTCGGATGGGACCTTAAACTGAGCTTTTAAGGGGATGTTAAAGATCCCGTGTCAATGTACAAAAAAGAGTTCCTGGCCAACAGTTTCCCCCCCCCTCCCCAACCCCCCCAAAAAATTGGCATTCACTTCAGGTTGTTATTGGACATTGTGTGTACATTGGCCGCTATATTAGTCTCCAAATATAATACAGCACAATTTACATTCATACGATGTGTTTCACGTCAGGAGGATGTCGCAACGCTCTTGACAAAGCTTTTTGGAAACCGAGTTAGGGTTGGCACACAGATACTACAGTTTACTGGGAATTCTGTGAAGCTCTTTGAGGTGTCCTCCTGACGTAATGGGCGCTATAGCAAATACAAGGATTATTGTAATATTTGATGTCCCATCTGCCTGTTCAGGTGAACTTTAAAGATCCTGTGGCACTATTTGCAAAGAGAATGGGGATTTCCTCCTGGTGTGTTGGCCAATGATCCCTTGGATAAAATTGGCTGCTTGTGTGATATTGTTGTGCACAGATTTGTGCTGTGTTTGCCTACAAGTACACAGTCACTGTATTACAGTAAATCCTGTAACATACTGGAAAGTTTGACAACGTAATAGTTCACATGCAACTGTTGGAATCAGAAAAATGTTGTCCTATCTGTCAGGAAGAAAAACTTGTTATTAGAAAAGAGTGGATATTTTTGTATTTGGTTAAGATGGAGGCTCAGGGTAGTCCTGGATTCTGGATCATGATAGAATTGGACAGGTCCTCTCTTTTTCTTTTGCCTGAAGGAACACCTTGATTCTTCTGTGCACAACGTACGCAAACCTGGATGGATCGGCAAATAATTGGAAAATGATACACAGACAGATTTTGGGGTACTGAACTTTGATTTGAAGCCAAGATGTGCCGATGTCTCGAAACATTCATGGAAGCTACTTTTGGAGTTCATTACCTCATTATGTAATCTCTAAGTAAACAAGTCCACTAATCCACACTGATAATGTTCCAGAAGCAGCAAGATGGATTTAATAAAATGTACATCTCCATATACATTTTGTAAGGTGTACGAATATTGTGTTCAGCGGGACATCTTGTGTATTTGGTTCTGTTGAGGTTGCTGTTCCAAGCATCTTAATAAAAAAAATTAAGCGTTTTTGTGAGATTTAACTTCCTGATGAGTTGGGTGATGTATGTTTAGGGTTTGACACTGTACTGGCAGCATGAAATTATAGATGCTTAGAATTGGGGCATGTTGTTGTGGAGTGATTGAAACCAAATCTCTTCTCTGGACTGTTGAGAAAGGCATTGTTGGAGGGAACATGGCAGACCAGGATGGGTAGACAAAATATTTGTTGAGGATACTAGTGGGACCAGGGGGTAGAAGATCTGATCCAATACCATTTATCAGGTGGAATCTTCAGCAGTGTGTGGGGGCAGTTATGGGGGTTCCAGTGATTGAAAGGAGCTGACAGAATATGGAAAGACGATATAGTGATGGTACTGTCAGAGGTTTTTTAATTCTTTAAAAGGCTCACTAGGCATTGCAGCTGGTGTACGTTACTTACTGTGCAGGGGCCATATTTTTGAAGTGGCGTCCCAAGCACTGCCTACCACCACTATGGTGCAAGATTGCATACTGCAGACTTTGTGTTGCAGCACTGTGAAAGAATGTGCTGCTCTTTTATGAGAACTGTAGTATAATAACCCATTTATGCTCCTAGGATTTATCAAATGCAACAATGCAGCAGTTTGGAGCTAGAAGCTTGATTTATGTTTGCTGCCCTAAAATTGCTTTTGCTGATGGCTGAGGAGAGTTAAGTCATTAAAGGTCAGGACTATAACGGGTTGTCGAAAGCCTTCATGGACTACCTGAAAACTTTTAAGCTTACAATATCAATTCCAAAAGATCTTTAGAAATTGTCTACCAAACAAGCTCAATTTATACTGCTGCCGATGGATAGAATCCTTAAATCACTTCCTGTTTGGTTTCTGAAGTTAAACTAAAATCAAAATGTGTTTTGTGTTTATCTTAGACTGCATTTTCAGCCTTAACTTACGAAAAGTCTGTTGTATTAGTGCAAAGTGCAATATCAATGTGACTTTTTGCACAATTAATTTAGTTTTGAACTGCTGCCACTTTTTTAAATTAACTTTTGAAAATCAATACATATACATCAAGCACAGTTGGCTTATATTGTATTCACATGATACTTTGCACATTAATATTTTACCTAATGTACGGTGATTAAATAGGAACTCTACATGTGGTGTTGGGAGGAGCATTGTGCCTGAATTTGTTGGAACAGATACCTGCAGAGCAATGGTATTTATGCAGGAAGGGCAAGCGGGATTGGTGAATAAGCTTGAGCCACTTTCGTTAGGGTGATTTGGCGGAGGGTTTGCTGTGCTATTGAACTTTCCTGGGATAACCTGTTGAGTAGTATGTTTTGTTTTATTTGGTGATGTAATGTGCATAGAGGTCAAAGTAGAGTCAGGATGCATTGAAGTTTGCAAACTATTATTAGTCTTGAATTGGTATCCAATTTGCAGGTCTAGGAGAAATGGCTTTGCTATGCCAACTCTCTGCTCGCCATACTCCTTAGTTCTGCCCTACATAAGGGCAGGCTATCTAGAACTCTGTAGTCCAGGTCATTTCCCTCACCAGGCTCTGCAAGTCTGTCTTCCTACGTCTTTGCTCGGCTCTCATTGGCTCACCATCCTCATTATTTTTATTATCTGCGTTTGATGTAACATATTCTTCATATAGGATCTGCTTTTCAGTTAGTTGGGGGGATTGTGTCAAGCATTTCTGGATCAGATTAGTAGTTTGAAATTTTTACTGGAGTTGTATACACTACAACATACATTGATAGAATAGAACATACCTTTTGTGTTGGATGTCCCATTTACACTGCTGGCTGTGCATCCAAGCCAGGTGTTGTGATCATTTTAGTGTCTTAGAAATTTTCCTGAAAATATTGGCTGATCTCCTTCTCGTCTTGCAAGGTCTTAGGAAAGGAGTGTAGCACAGTCCAAGGACTGGTTCATCAACTGGTTATGAACCAGAAACGTCACGGCTGGTAGAATTTCTTTGTGGATTAAAGAAATATTGAGTCTGGTAAGAACAGTAAATTGTGCACCATTTAATTGTGTTCTAATTGGTGAATATAAAATTATGAATGGATGGGGTTGGCTATAATTCAACCAAGTGGGGTTCAGATAACTTCACAAAGCCTTAATGGTTTATGTTTTCTTTATCGGTGACCTTTTCTGGTCCATTTGTATTGATAAAAGCAGTGCCAAAATGACATTGTTGCAAAGTAATTTGATCTGGATCTCTAGAAAGTTTCAAAGTTAGAAAACAAAAATGTGAAGGATTTGAGACCAATATTTGGATAATACATGGAAGATAGATGTAACTATCACAGTTAGTACAGTAAAGCACCGCTCCCCCCACCACAATCCATTTACCCTGGGCAATGGCAACAACATGGAAATGTGTTAGGTATTTTGTTGTAGGGTTATATTGGATGTTCACCATTAGACCACAACTGACTAATTGTTTCTTTCTAAGTCACAATTTGTGTTTCTGGCTGCTGACCATCCCTGATCTCAGGAAAAATTCAGACAAACAGACCACCAATGCCAAAACCACATTGTTGGCCTGGC